GCTTTAAGTCAACACCGGCTTTTAGCTATATTTAACTAATGTTAATGGCAGAACAGAACAAACTCCAACAGCTTAAGAAAAACACCACCAAACACAACACCAAAAAAACCTCCTGCTAGTCTTTCTCCTCCCCCTAATTCTCAGTAGCTTGTTTGCTAGCTTTAAATATGCTTGCAGACATCCACTGATGTGACTTAATTGATTCAGTAATTTGTCTCAGCAGTTCTGGAACACTGAGCTTTTAGGCAGTTGTGAGCTCTGCCAGCCCCTTGCTAATTGTCTGAAACTAACAATAAATTCCCCCTACCTTTTGGATGACGTGCAGTGCTATCAAACTGATGACTAACTTGCCAGGATTAATTGCCAAGCTGTTTGCTAATCAACAGTAATTAGCAGCAACATGGCATGAGACTAGGACACAAAAGAAATAGGAAAAAAGGAGATCTTTCAGCTGTTCTCCCTAAAAGAACAAACAAAGAAAGACTTGGCAACTGGACTGATTATTAAAAAAATGAAGTATTTAAAATGCTTCCACTTCAAAAGAAACCCATAAAATATTCCATAAGTGGCACAACATTTGAAATCCCTGTGCTGTTTGTATTTAATGTCAGTTCTGGGGCAATTTGCTCTCCAAACTGGAGTCTGAGACGTAGTTATCTGCTGAACTACAAGGATTTTAGTGTTTCACCTGTAGGTGGCAAGAAGCTGGCATATATCTTTTCCTGACAGTGTTGGTTTCCTTTGGAAAGGTGGGTTTTTTGGTTTTGACTTTTTTTTTTGGTAATGTATAATCTGCTATTCACTTCACACAGTGTCAAACCAGCTGGCATTTATATAGTATACTTGTGATTACAAGTTTTAAGATTTTTTGTAAGTATGGTCAGTCCCATTCTGTGGGCTGAGAGAGATAGAAATTTTTCAATTAAGCATTTCCAGAACTGGTTTCTGGATATTCAGATATATAGTCTGGACTCTGGGCATTGGTCACAAATCAAGCCTTAAGCAGAGGCCTGAAAAATTTAGAACAGTTTACTCTGTATGATTTCCTCTGGCTTGCACTTTTTCTATGGTCATGCTATCCAGTAGTTCTATACATGGCATAACCTAGACTGATCTGACTATGCAAATACTTCTGTTTAAGTACTGAGAAGTCAACTGTCTGTAATATAAAGATTTTTACCAAGAACAGAAAACGAAATTCATCCAGAAAGTCTATGGGGAAAATTACAGATCTCTGTCTCCAGCATGTGCGGACTTGATTGTATGATATAATAGTGTCTGTCTGCACAGCCTCTTCCCTCCCCTTACATAGAGGGTTGCTAATAATAGGTTTTATCTCAAACAGCAGTTTTAGCAGCCATGGTATCTGCTTGGATGGCAGAGACACTCTCTCAGCTGTTATACATATGGATGTCATGTTATACGTGCCTTGCTGGTTCTCTAGGCAAGACCTTTTTCCTCCAGTTCTCTGCTAGGGCAGACACCTGCTTGTGTCATTGCCACTCACCATCTGTGAAAGAGGCCTTTACCAGTTCTCAGACAATGTGACACCATTACACAGAATTAAAAGCAATAGAGAAACATACTGAAACATCCAGCAGCACTTTGCCACAGCTTTTCTGGAGCTTGTTGTTAAGTGTTTAGGTGTTTGGACAGCACAGTAGCACAACAAAATCCCAGTGCTGTGTAAACATTGCCATTTTGAACCTTAATTTTCTTTCAGTATGACAAGATTTTCAACTACTTTTTTGTACTAGTGGCATTGTATTTTGAAAAAAAAAATCAGTGAAATAAACTCATTAGGCTATTACAGAATTATTTTGAAGATATGTTTAACGAGTCTTCCATTATGCCTCAGTTTGCTTTAAAATCTCTGATTGACTGCTTCTGAGTTTTCTTTGGGAACCCTTGTCTTATTTCATTTATAAAGAAGGAAGGCTTTCCCAAGCATCACTTGTTTACTCCAGAAACACATTAGATGTGAAGCTGAAGTGGTGTACAATACTGAAATATTCATAGTCAGCCTAAGGCTGTTGAATGAGGTAATTTAAACAATCAATACTACAACTTTGCACTTCTGCATTTTCACTTCTTTGGCACTTGCTTTCATGCTCTGCTGTAAGTGATCCTGCTGGGTCATCCTATTATGGAAGAAATTATAGGGTTGGATCCAATTAAGAGCTTGGGCGGCACATCAGACTTTTAAGTACTTGCCTTTGCAGAGGAAACCAGAGTCCTGGGGTAGACATTTAGGCTCTTCATTTGATTCCCGGGAAGAGTTAGGACTGAATGCAATCTGAAACAGCACTACCTGAGGTGCCAGCCAGCTGGCCTCTGAGGCAAAGAGATGCGTATATCTGACATCCGAAGCAAATAGGATGCATGAGTAAACCTTAGCCATGGTTTTGCTTGTCATATTGCAGGACCCTGTCAGCTTGAACTCACTGCCAGTAATCTCACTTATGAGAAAAATTGATTTTTTTTTTTTAAGAACTGCAAATGGTTTGTCTTTTTTGTTTTAAACATGGTTACTGGAAGACATATTACACCTTCCTATCCTCCCATACACAGCAAACAAGTTTTATTCTCTTGTTTTCTTTTTATTGAAATAAAGCAACCATGGCAGAAGGTAGAGATTGATTTCAGCCCCCTTCTCCACCCGATCTACTAAAAACTCACTTATCTCTTTCTTCCAAAATCTCAGTTATTATTAGTAATGTGATGTGACTGTGGTGCAAAGAAGCTGTGTTTTCCAGCTTTCCTGTTCTACCAGTTGCACTTAGTTTCCCCACAGAGAGGAATTTGATACTTATTGGATCAGAAAAAGATTAGGATTTTGTTATCTACTGGCCAGGAAAACGTAGGGAGAAAGTGAAGTGTTCTTCTATTTTCCGTCTGAAGGTTGCTTCCTGTGAAGTTTGGAGGAGGAGGAGACTGAACCCTGGTCTCTTTGGTCCTGTTCATGTGTTTTCATTGCTAAATTAGCAGCCTAAAGGCTGATGTTCTGTGGCCCCTCTAGGTGCATTTTGAGTTCTCTTTTGCATGGATGTCAAGCCTGCCTGTGCATGTTAGAAAGCATGCTGTGAAAGTGCCTGCCTGACAGATCTCCTGTGGGAGCTGAGGGGAGCACTGTCCATGTCGTATGTTCTGCCAGTTCACAGGTGGGATTCAGGCTGCCAAGTCGTTTTCATGGTCTCTTCGGTTTGGTTAAGGAAGAAGGTCCTCTCCCTTTGATTAGGATAAGCACTGATGAGAAAAATAATAAGCTTTAAGTTAAGGGAAGAATAGAAAACAGTTAATGATTTTTTTTTGTTTAGCTTACGTATTTTGCTTCAGAATTTACCTGTGCTTTATAGGCAAATTTATATGACATTTCTGGTGCCTGCGGAGAGTTTCAGCAGAAAGTAGGCACTAAAATCCCAAAACATCCTCTTGAAAACAGTTCCTGAGAGGTGTAACCTATAACCAAAGAAATTTCAGCAGGTCACACTGAAAATGCTTCTGCAGGCAAGGAGGCAGCAACAGCATTGCTTTGTTCAGAAACCTTGACAAAGCAGCAGCCAAGCTGGGATTTGAGTATAAGAACCTGTGTGGGAATTTACATGTGTGCACGTATGTATTTTCAAAGAATAATGACGTGTCCTTATGATACATTGCACTGTCTGGTCCACAGTGTTCCTTCATTATTATAGTATTAATAATGCAGGCTGAGGTAATTCATCCACGTATTCAGAACCATATAAATAAAATGGCGGTCATTTATGGGTAGCCTTAAGTACTTTTCAATGGCCTCACTGAAGTTAAATGATGGCAATGATAATCTTTTACAGTTGCTTTTTTTAAAATGCAGTGCAGTACACTTTCTTGTGGAATATGGGATGACTTGCAATGTGAGACATATTTGATGCTTTTTGCCAGCTGGAGACAATCGGAGAAACCAACCCATCTCAGACTCAATTTAGAAATGCAAGTAACTATCTAGATAATTGCAATGTCTGGCTTTTAAAATTTATTTAAATTTAGATGTGGGAAGTACCTACAATAGTTTCACCTATAAAATGGAATAGGATTTTACAGGGCCAGAAAAGCACCTGAAAAAAAAAAAAAAAATCACATCTGAATGCTTTCCGTGTATCTGGAGTAGTAAATATATGTAGTTTTACTCTACCATTGAATCTATTAATTAATATAAATTTAGTAACAGCATGACATTCAGACGAGGCCGTATATTATTTCTTCCTTTCCTGAGAGGGCTCAGTGGGACTACATGTGCAAGTAAGTCCTATAAGGAATGACAGCTATCTGATTAATTTCTAAATTCACCTGTGACAATAGTTGAACTTTATTGCAAATCTAAGCTAACCATATAGGCCAAATTTACTACAGAGGAAAACAGGCAAAATAAACCTGGATGTTCATAACAAGGATATCTACAAATAGGGGCTATAACAGGCTAAGAATGATAGAACACCCCCAAGGAACGTTGTTAATGAAAGTGCCATTTGCACAAGCTGGTAGTTGAAGCAGGTACACAGTTCATTACTCTGGGAAGCTGGAAGTTCTCTATATCTGTCCTGCCAGCTTTGCAGAATCATGGTGGTAGCAGTGCCTTATAACACACACTGCCCCTGCTTAGGCAGACATCAACTCACCAGACTAAAGCAGTCAGAGCTGACATGAGACTATAGCTCCTTTAAGTTGAAAATGATCAATTTTTAATTACCTTCTGCAGCAGTGTCTTGCAATTGTGTGTTTATTCTTCAGAAAGGAAGCTTTTGTTAGCTCTTCAAACACCAAAGTCTGATAGAAACAACAGAATTAATTTATTGTCTCTAAAAACCTGTGAATGTCTTGGGGCTGCCTAATTTGACTTCTCATGGATGTTTACTGTGTATCATTCTCATGGATGAAGTGTTTATTTATGTTGTGGACAGAGGCAGATCTGTTGCTGGTCAAATTCCTCCCAAAGGGCTCAGTACACATAGAGGATAGGAGGAGCATCAATAGCATTACAGACTGCAGCAAACACATCTCATGCAAAAGGCAGAAGAGCAGAGAGGAGAAAACTTTAGAGAAGAGAAAGAGGAAATACAGTGATTGAGAGAAAACTATGCTGCTTGAGGAAGAGCAGACATAAACTGACAATTGAATACATCAGGAATTACATAAGCAACATGTCTCGGTCACCAGGAAGAAAGCCGGAGAACCACAAAATAGTAAGACATTTTTGTAATGTGTGATTAAAATTGTGCATGGAGTAAGAATAAGCTATTACTGTATTGATGTATATTATGTAGTCATATTTCTGAACAGTCTGAAAGTAGTGAAAGGATGGGGATGAGTCTGTCAGTACAAGAGCAGAGGGGCTGGCAGCATTCCTATCCTGGAATCCAGGCAGCTGGCTACTATCCCTACTGCTGAGATTCTGAGCAGGCTTAGGAAAGAGGGGCACAAATTTTCTGAGGTTGCGATCTGTTCAGAAACAGAAGTTTAAGTGCTTTGGGCAATTTATGGTCAAAGGTAGGAATGCCAGGTAAGTTTATTTGCCTCCTTGGTTAGACAGTTGTAAATGAAACACAGAGAGAATCTCTCTGTTAGTGCTTGAGTGGTTCAATTCCACACAAATCTTTCTTCAGGAACTTAGAGCCTTAGGGCTCTCTGTATGGTGAATGGCAATTTCTGACAGGAGTTCAGGCAGTGAAGAAGGTCCAGAAGGCTTTACAGCAATGTTGTGGTAATTTCTGAAAAGGGGACAGAGGTCTCCACTGACAAAGAAACAGAAGAATATAAGATAATTTAGGTTCATGTATGTAAGTTTATGGGCAAAAACTATTCCAATGGATTGCAAGAGTGGATGATAAATACAATTATGTTGATATAATTTGGGTTTCTCTAAAGTATTGTTCTTATTACAACACAGACTTTTTGCTGAACGATAATAAGACAACAATACAGAACTTGTATGGCATCCATTTACTCCATTAAAAACTCGTTAATGAGAATTTGGCCCAGTGTCCAATGTTATTATAAACAGAAGTTATCACTAAGGTGAATTTAGGAAATGGCTGCATATTAAACTCCAAGCTTTTGATGCAAGGAGAGCAGGAACAGGTCTTTCCACCAAGCTGTTCTTCCTTTCTTCATGTGATTTGTTCTGTTGTTTTCATTGTTATTCACTAATTTTTCCACAGGCTGTAAACAAAAAGTGCCTCTAGTCTAATCATATGCCACAGGGCTAGAATACTTCCTTTAATTAATTTCTCCACAGCTGAAGATCCCAGTCTAGCACTTGTGACAGAATCTCTGCAAAGTTAGGCCTTTGACATGTTCAGTTGCTCTCCATGCTCCTTGGGCAAGCAGCTGTAATCCTCACCCATCCCCTTCATCTTGTCATTATTTGTTACACTGGTGTTGAATTATAGTATTTTTCCACTATTCTGCGTTAAAGTTTTTATCTACCTTTTAGTTTTTTTGGAGAAATCAGCTGATGAATTGAATCAGATCAACCCTACCTTTGTAAACTATTGTACCTATTGCAAAAGAATTAATAGCTCACTGCCTCTATTATTCTTCCTACAACTAAATGTTTGTCATTATTCTTTGATGGCATTTGACAACATTTATCAATCCAGCATACACACATGAAGTTATAGGATGCAAAAATGCACTTGATGAAAGTGACTGCAAGTATCCCAAGAAATGGTATTTCTGACAAGCAAAATCCTTTTACAGACTCAAGTGACAATCAATTCAGGTTCTGTCACACATGAATTGTGGATTTCAGCAATAATGCATCCATAAGACAATAGTTTCTTTATTAATGCAAATGTTATTCTTCCTTGCTGTTAATCCAGTAGCAGTTAAAAAACTTGGAAAAGTTTAATTCTAGTTTGCTTCACTTTTGATTTCCTGGCAGAGCAGAGAACTTTTTGTACTCACATATGGGGCTTTGGTAGCCCAGCTGTGCAAGGACTATGAAAATGATGAAGACGTCAACACCTGTTTAGATAGAATGTAAGTACTGCTTGAAATGTTCAGCTTTATCTATAATGCTGTTTGTCCAGCTATATGTTACCTCTCAGCTTTCTGTTGGTTATCTTACGAGTTCCGGCATTCTGTCTGGGATTACAGAGATGACAGGGATGCAGTCTGATATTCTGTCAACAGAAATAATACTAATTTGTGAATTAAGATCGACAATTAGCTTTTGAATTCTCTGAAGAGTGGTGTCAGGATCGTTTTCATAGCTTACACTTGTTCCTTGTTGATCTTTTTGTTATGCTAATTAACAATATAAACTTCTGAATTTCATCTCCTATATCCCTGTATTTCATTTCAGCTTCCCCCCTCATAGGGATAAGAGCAGATGGGCCTCTCACCTTTAAGAGGCCATATAGCAATGAGTGAGATAGCATAAAAAGTCAATGAGAATGGACTTTTAAGTGGATAATCTCTTTGGAAAATGAAGATCCTGTGATTACAAGATCCTGTCATCCTGACTGAGATTCCTGGGCATTACTGCCATAAAAATAATGATATCATGGAAAATCAGGAAGAAACAATTTTTGAGCTCGTTAACAAGATATACTAAGATCTTTGGCAGAACAGTAAGGCTTATGTTTTCAGCCAAAATGGACATGCAAAATGGATTTACAGCAATCACAGTGAACAGAATAACTGATCACTTTACTATTAACCTGCAAGTTTGCAAATGAGCTATAGTCCAATAACTATCCATGAGAGTGAGTTAAAAAATCATTGTTTGGAAAAAAGAAAAGTAATTTATTCACAAACTTGGGAGGGACAACATCCCTCAGATATTTATTTTATAGTCATCTCTCATTCAGCTGTGATGAAAATCATACATTTGAAGAGTGCACAGACTTCTGGAAGAATCTGTGGAGACAGATTTTGCTACCTATGTTTTCATTATTATAGCTGATTCTATAAAATCTTTTTGTTTTGAGGAGGACTTGATGATACAATTACAGGTTTCATTAAAACAATACATCTGTTCTTTTCTACTGTGATTATGAAAACAGCCTAGTTTCAGAAAGAAACCTTGTAGATTAGCAGACCTGTGACAGGTGAGGATGGTATCCTTGTCTCTCTCTGTACATATATAGTCCATAATGAGAAGGGTGTTTTTCACTGTGCTGTTGCCAAACAGGTGCTTGTCAATTTATTATTAATTTGACTTTGCAAATCTGAGGCATAAAAGTTGAAAAGTATCTAAGTAGTCTTGTACATCACCAATACATACCTTGCTAATTGCTCATGACATACTTGCCAATGTTATTGATACTTAGGCAATAGATAAATATTTCATTGTTTCTAGATGCATGATCTACTGCAATTTTAATCTTCATGCTGCCAAAACCACTTTGTGGTCATCACATTAGACATCAGATTACTTTTGGCTTCTTGACAAAGATGTGGTACAGAAACTGGTAAGAGACTGCATTGAGTTCAGACTGCTTCACTGAGGATGTAGGGCCTCTGGCAAACAGGCAGAGACTGCCAACATCCACAAAAAATGGAAATGAAAAATTCCCTAAAAGCACTTCTGAGTTGAGTGTGCATTCATTAATAAGATATGTGTCAATCTCTTTCCTTTTATTGGAAATGCTTGGGAACACAGCTGTTTTGCACATTATAAAGTTACTGACCTTTGCTAATGTGTAAGAGCTAGGAATGAGTATTTGTTTTATTAACAAAATCCATTCTCTTCCATCCTTTTTTATTTCTTTTTTTTTTTTAATTTTAGTATTTTAAATACAAAATGAATATGGTGGTGTACTGAAACTCCATGTTAACTAGCAACTTTTGGATTTTTTCCTGATTTTTTCCTAGTTAGATGAAGGGAGAGAACATGTTAGAAAAACAGATGAAGAGGGAATTGTGGAGGAAGAGAGAAAAATGAGGTGAAGAGATAAGAGGAGAAAGTGAAAGAGATCAGGTGTGAGTCCATTTCCTGTGGGTTTTCCTGGCACCTGAATGCTGCAATGAGTGTGCCCAGGATTTGCTGAACTCCATACCAGCCTAGAGGTGAAGGCTGTGACCCAAAGGGATAGTTGCTTTGTTCTCCTTATAGAGACAGTGTGAGAAGAACACCAGGTATCCCAGAAGAATAGTGGAAACTCTGTGCTATTTTATCCTATCCTCTTTTTAGTGACAAAGCAGTTTAATCAGGTATATTGTGGATGTTAGTTATATATTAAACTTGTATATCTACTATCTAATATTTATTCATACATGTAAATGTAAGTGTGTATATATATATAAATATATATATATAGACAATGTATAGACAAATTGTACAGACAATTCATATCATCCTTGCCAGGAGTATCATGCTTAAAGAAGTATGATTCCTTAAATGACTACATGAACAGCAATCCCACTGTGTTGCAAAATGTGGTAGAAAAAAGAATGTAGACCAGCAAAATCTGTCATCATCAAAGCCACCCAATAAGGAACATGCATCTGTTTTTTTGAGAAAGCACAAGAGACACATTAGAGAGACGGTAAGAAGCTCCCAATTTTGAATGTTAACTTTCTTTGTTTCCTTTCTAGGGGATACAGCATTGGTGTAAGGCTGATTGATGACTTTTTAGCTCATTCAGCTGTTAAAAAATGCCGCAGTTATTCTGAAACTGCAGACATGATTGCACAGGTAAATAAGATTTACATTTTCTTTAGCTTCATCAGATTCAGTGGTCTTAGTTTTATCCTCCTCTATCAGTTTACTCCAGAACAGTTGCCTACATTGTCTGCTGTATCGTGATTGTCATAACAAAAAACACTCCACAGTCACATCCACTGGATGAAATACAGCCTTTTCCTTATCTACAACTCCATAACACATAACACAAAACAGGATGCCAGCTGTAAGAGGCTACCAGCCCCTGACATAAACTGACCTTAAAGTCAGTTACTAAGCTGAAATAAAAGTTCTTCTATTTCTAGCAGCCGATGAGGCATTTTGCCATTAGAATAAATAAAGAGGTGGGGTTTTGTTTTGTTTGTCGCAGCTTAAGCTGATTTCTTCTACACTTGCTGGAGAATGCAATAAACAAAAAAAAATGATCCAGTTTTAACAAACTTCCAATCATATATTCCCTCACTGTTTTCTCTTCCTAGGAGCATAAATAAGCCCTAACCATCTCATACAGTTCTTAAGCTTCAATATTCTTAGTTCTGCCATTTGACTCTCCTCATCATCTCAGTAATTATCTTAGATTTTTTTTAACTTTAAAATGGTAATAATATTAAGAATAAGCCGCAGGCTTTTCTGCAAAAAGAAAATCTCAGTGGTAGGAAAGAAGAACTGTAAGAAAGAAAAATGAGAGGAACATTTTCCTGACTACCCACAAATCTAATAATAAAATTAAAAACATAAAATCAGTGTGTATTTTCACCTTCTTTGAGGGCAAGTCAGAACTCCTGGGGACGCTCAAAGAGAAATTCGTAAGACATCTAGCCTCATTAGACTGCTGAGTCACTGTAAAGGAGGTGGTAGTTCATAGATACTGAGATAGCTCAGTCTAACACCTGCTCAGGTCATGATGAATGATCCCTTCTATCCTCTAGGGTTCCCACCTATGAAGTGTTGCCAGTGGAGGTATGCCTGGCCTTTCCCAATGGCAAAAATTAACCACACTTTATGCCAGAGAAATTTACAACGTGGTCATTTATTCTAAGAGGAGAGATCAGGGCATCAGTTAATGGAACGGAGATTTATTTCTATCGGCTCATTTTAGGAGACAAAAGTATGCCTGGCATACTTTTTGATTGCTTGAGAATTACCAGCGGCGTGTGGTAATTCTCATTATGTGATCATTATGTTTAACCCACAGAACTGGGAAGAAGCAGACTTTCTATGTAGTGAACAAAGGCATCAGGATGTGCTAGTTATACAGGAGTATCTTATTTCAAAGTGTATGTGGATACTGCCAGATGATGTGTGGTCCTGCTCACATTAACTCTGTCAGAAATACCTACATTGCATCGGACTCAGATGGAGGGACAGAAGTTACATTATTATTCCAAGATGCTTATCGTAGAGAAGCTGATGACTGTGACAGAAATGGAGAAAGAAATTTTTTTTTCCCTGTTGCTGGTACGGCTATAAGGTGCACATGTGCAAAACACACATGTACACCATGACCTGCCAAAGTTTGAAGGAGAAGCAGGTGACAGTGCTAAAAGCCAGCCAGAGCCCATTAGCTCATAAAAGAGTTGAGACTAAATTTCTTACTTCAGTAAAGTCTATTTTGGAGTCTCAAATCAGGATGATATATAACAAAGCTTGTCCTGTGGAAAAGCTGAGCTGGGGTAGAGGATCCATTGGAGATAATAAGGGCAGCTGAATGAAACCCATGAGACAAGCAGCATTTCAATTGCTGTTTTAAAATACACTGTCTTGTTAAAAGAATGATACCAGGCTGCAAAATCACATTTTTGTTCACTTTTACATTCTACTTTAGGTGGTATTGGTACTTTATTTTCATGTCTATGCGAGATATCTGGTTTTCTGGGTCTTATTCTTCATGTTTCTATTTACAAATGCCTTATTACAGTTGAACCACTATTCTTAAGTACAGGGGATTCAACAGCACAATACGGTGCAAAATTAATGATCAAAGTAAGGAAAAAGACACTATTCCTCTGCAGGTTGTACTTCAAAAGAGACTTACTGAGAGAAATAAAAGATTACTTGGAATGATTGGAACTAACTTTAAAGTACACACAGTCTCTTGAAAAGACTATTTTTAGCAAACTAAAAAAGGAGTTTTGTAGTAGGAGTATAGCATTTCTGAGGCAAAATGTGATATGGAAAACATTTTCACATTTCTTTGGCAAAACATTTTTAAATGCTCTTCAAGCACATTTGTCTGAGGCACATACCAACAAAACATGTGTAAAGTGATCCAGTAAGTAACTGCAAATACACTCTTAAATTTTTCTGTTCAGAACCACTCAGCTGTTTACATAATGCCTTTAACTCCTCAGCAGTAGGTTCTCAGCCAGAAGAAAGTGCATAAATACTCAGGTGTACTAAGTCCTCTGAGGTATAAATCTGTTTGAAGATGAGTAGAACCAGTTCAAAGTTAAAGTAAATAAAGACAGTTAAGTACTTCAAGTACTTAGAGCCAAATGTCCTGTAAGCATAGTTGTTATCCAGCAGTCTTTTGCAAAACACAGGAAAAGTCTGTAAGGTCAGGCTGTGGGTGTTCCCTGAGGAAATGGAAAGAGATAACGCAAACAAAAAAAAAACCTTAAAATGAGGACTACAAAGCCACCTTCCCATATTAAGAAATAAAGATGCAGGAAAGGTGCACCCAAGGCAATGTCTGAGGGCTTAAAACTTCAACCACTGGTTCAGACTGCAAAGCCTGGGATTTACTGCTGCCTTGTACCAGACTGGAGAAGAGCCCTTCTACACTGAGTTCTCATGGTACCAACTGACTTCTCATGTTGGTCCTGTGACTTGGCATGGTTACAGCTGGGGACTGAATAAAGAAAAGATAAAATAGGCCATATAAAGTAGGCTCTCACTGGCAAACTGGGGTGAGAAAATGGAAACCAATTGAGGGATGGTATTAAGAACAAAGCTCAGCTGAAGAAGTAATGTCCAAGACTGGATTCAGAATTTGGGTCTGAGTATAAGTAGATACTTTTGAGATAAGGGTGATAATTTTGCTCTATAATCCTACAAAGTCAAATTTTTACTTCAATTCCTCTTCACAGAACCTTGACATCATTTAAATAACATGCAAAAAATATACAGCTTCTGGTTTTAGATCTAATCCTAGTGTTACCTTCTCCAGCACCAGGAGGTATTTGTGCAAGCCAGAGGTGGAAGCAGCCAGACCACACCCTCTGGTTCACAGTGAGCTAGTGCTGGCTCACAGCCTCCATTGCTCTACTAAGCAGTGCTGTGCCTAAGGATACATCTGTTGCTGAAAAGCAGTGACTGCAGAGATGGGCTTTATTGTGGATGCTCAGTACCCCATGAATGCAGAAAATGTCTCTGCGGCTCTTTGAAGAGAGGTCCCTGGGGACAACAAGGGATGGGGTAATCCAATCATGTCACCCCCAAGCCCAGAGCTGTAGGACAAGAGCTGTGATTCCCCTTGTCATGGAAGGTGCTGCCACACAAGATCCCTTGGCCAGTCTGAAAGTCTGACAGAAGCTATCAGAATTTACAAAGTGCTTAAATGTTCTTTTTCAGACCTTAGCGGTAAGAGAGAAATGCATACAACAGGTTGCTGTGCTGAGTGGTAGACAGTAAACTGAAAAATGAAGTGCTGTACTGTAAAGAATAAAGAAAAGTTTATGAGAAAAGTTTGGAATCAGCTGCTGTAAAGCAACTTGCCTTACCAAACACTGACTGAAAAACACTAATAATGAAAAGTATGCTAGGAGAAATATTATTTTGGCTGCTTTCCCCTTCTAAGCAGATTAATTCTGGTCCTTCATTAATCTTGTTATGATGCCATTTGAAATTATGGTTTTCACTTATTTAACAGTCTGTACTTACTTACTTTCTGTCATTACTTATGCATACAATGTTTTGTAGTGAAAAGTCCTCAGTAGGGACTGATAAGTTAGTGACTTCCACAGTAATTCTAGACTGTGTTTGAGCATCATCAAAATGTTAATGAACTTTATTCTTGCTGCTCGAGAGAGAGGGAATGCTGGTTGAGACTTTGGAAAAGGTCAGTGGTACATATTTAATTCTGACTGCATAGATTTCTTGTTTGACATTAAACAACATATAATTTCATAGAGCTGCTAGTATCATTTTCGAAAGAGAGGTTTTGCTTTATATGGGCATAATTTCGATGGCAAGCCTGTGTACATGTTTAAATAAATATTCTTTTTTCTTTCATTTCATAAATAGAAATGAAACAGATTTATGGATACGACTTTTAAAACAGCACATTCATTTTTCTTTCCAGTCTTTTGGAGTCACAAAGACTGAAAAGACCTTTGTTTTACTCTCTGAGAAGCTGTAAATGGTAGTTTTGAAGTAATTAATGTCCAGTCATAGCCTGTGTTTTTTGTAAATATTCATATCTGTTCATTGAATTACTTATCTATGTGCTTCAATTATTTTTCCTGACAAGACGTTTTCACAATTTTCACTTTATAGCTTTGTGATTTTGCCCTAATTTGGTGCTCCATTGCAAACCAGCTACTTCTTTTACGTATGCAAGTTCTCATTTACACAGGAAATTTTAAACAATAGAACTAGGACAGATACATCATACTGTAATGCCAAGTATAGCTGAATCAACTGAAAACGTATGATGGCTTAGCACAGTCAAAAAGTCTTTATTCTTATAACAAATACTTTAGTTTGAGGGAGCAGCAGATGTGTAGTGGGAGAAGAGTTAAGAGAATTGAAATAAGTAAACTGAGGAACAGAGCACAGAGAACTGAGCAGAAGTTTCCTGTGTACTCATATTTTGATGGACGTAAGAGTTAATGAGAAATCTAAGTTTTGCAGCAGAAAATGTTGATTCTGCTGTTTGATTTTGTTTATTGGGCTTTTTTTCTCTCTCTCTTCAGTTCGTTTTGGATAGTGTTGACAATAGTCTTTGTCTCATCCTGAGCTACCAGGGTAGCTGCTGAATTTAGGGACAATGTTGATAGAAAACAGCTTTT